CTGCTTGCCGTCGGCAGGCAGGTTTGCAAACCCTGAGTAGCGGAGCCCTGAAGCCCTAGCGTCCTCTCTCTGCTGTCCCTTTTAGGAGGAGTGGCCACCTATCCCTGGGGGTGGGTCAGGTCTGCCCATCCCTGATGCTGGAAAACCCACAAGCTCTCTGTTCCCTCCCCTGAAGAGCTGGCACCAAGCACAACCCGGCAAGCATCTGCTCTCCAAAATGCGTTTCCTCCCAGCAGAGCCCCCGGCCTGAGCCCGCGTGGAGCAGGACTCTGGGGAGCCATGCCGAAGGCAGCCAGCTCCTGCCACTCCTCCTCCGGCCTCTCGCTCACATTTCATGGGGCTGTGACCCCTGTGAGCTCACATCGCAGTGAGCCCTACAGTGGGGTGGCCAGCAACCCGAACCTGGCGGCTGGGGTTTCAAAGTCAGGGCAGGGCAACTGTGCTCATGTGGTCACCTCCTCGTCTGCGTCGTGCCCCAGCAGAGCCGTCCCCAGGGCAGACGGGTGCCTCCCTGCAAGCCGAGGGGATGTGGGGGCTCTGGCCAAGCCGGGCTGCTCTCCCCGCCCAGCAGCCCTCTCTCCCTCTCCCTGACAGCTCTTGCCCTGCTGTGCTGGAGGCTGTCGCCATGACGCTCACCAAAGGTTCCTTCACCTACTCCAACGGCGAGGAGTACCGCGGCGAGTGGAAGGAAGGTGAGATGGCGCAGGAGCGGGACAATGCTGCCGGTCCTGCAGGACAAGCAGTCCCTGCATCCCTGCCTGGCTCCGTGCTGGGGCAGGTCCTGCCTCTGTCCAATGCTGCCCATTTCTGCCCTCACCTAGGTCGCAGGCATGGCATCGGGCAACTGACATTTGCCGATGGCACTGCTTACATGGGGCACTTTGAGAACGGGCTCTTCCATGGCTGCGGTGTGCTCACCTTCTCCGACGGCTCCAGGTGAGCATGGCACTCCTGCATACACCTCCCCGGGCATCCCCAGCTGCCACGGGGGAGCTGTTGCCTCAGGAGCTCCTCCCACACAGGTACGAGGGGGAGTTTGTGCAGGGCAAGTTCAATGGTGTCGGCGTCTTCACCCGTTGCGACAACATGACGTTTGAAGGCGAGTTCAAAGGCGGGCGAGTGTATGGCTTCGGTGAGTGCCCAGTGACATGCTGGAGGCATCTGCAGCCCTGCACAGCCCCAGCTCAGCACAGACCCTTCCAGCATCTCCTGCTTTGTTCCTCCATCCCCAGCCCTATCCCCGATGGGTGCTGCTCCCTGCCACTTCACTCCCAGCCCTTCCCTCCCATCCGTCCTCAGGTCTCCTGACCTTCCCCGATGGCTCCCATGGGGTGCCCCGCAACGAGGGCTTCTTTCTGCTAGGGCGGGAGAAGTGCACAGCCATCATCCAGAGGGCCCAGGGTGCCTCCAAGTCTGCCCACAACCTGACAGCATGATGGCGCCCGTGTCCCCTCCTGCCGGAGCAGCGACCCCCCTACTTGGGTACTGGCTGGCCCTGCTGGCCCTGGAGCAGGGATGTGGCGCTGCTGGGTGCCTCCCTGCTCTTCATCCCCATCAAGCATCCTCCTGCCAAATTCCTGCCACTGGAGGGGGTGGGATCCTCTGCTCTCCACCCAAGTGCCCTGGGGCAGCTGTGGTGCCTTCTCTTTCTGGCTATAGCCCTGGCACCTGCCAGAGCAGTAGGAGGACAGGGTGGCTGGGGCTTGGCCCTTCTGCCCCCAGGAAGGCTGTGGACCACCAGGACAGCTAGTCTGCTGCAGAGAATGGAGCAGGGGGTTAGGGGTTGGTCCCTAACCCCACTGCCAGGGTGCCTTGGCTGGGAGCTGCTGGCTGGACCACATGCCCCCAGAGGGACAGCTCCTGACTTGCTTTGTTGCCCTGGTCTGGAAGCAGGATGTACACCCTGGGCACTCTGTGACCTGCACCCTCAACTCTGGGTGTCTGACCATCTCCCTGTATGCCCATGGCAGGGTGATATGGTGTTCCTGAAGAATCCAGCCTGCTCTCAGGGCCAGCCAATGTGCTGTGTCCCCCTCATCCCTGTGCCAATCCACCCTACCCACTGCCTTGGGTACATCAGCAAGCAGCATCCCCACCAAGGGGGACCAGGGGATGCTCAGCCTGGTGCATGTCTGCTGCACAGTGGAGGAGGGCAGAAGTGATGGTGGGCAAGGAGCAGGGTCAGCTGGAGCCTGGGATGAGGGTCATGAGCAGGCCTGCATGGAGTGCCAGGGCTGGAGCAGTGGGCCTGGGCAGGGCGGGAGGAGATAGAGGCGTGACGAAGGGGCAGGCAAGGGGCACAGAGCTCCCCATCTTGCCTGCTATGTGCATCCTTCATCTCCCTGCTGCATGCTCACCTTCACCCCCGGTGCGATTTGGCTGGCTGTGGCTCAGGGGTCCTGGCAGCCCTCACAGCCCATTGCAGGGCTGCAGGGGCTGTTCCCTCCCTGCTGGTCTCTACCGCACCGGTCCTGTGCCTTGCCATTCCCCTGCCTTGTGCTGCTGCCTGCACAGGCCTCAGCTGAGTAAACCATATTGCCAAACGCCTGCGCCATGTCCTTTTTGCTGGGAGCAGGGACAGGAGGGGGGGCTTACACAGGCAGGACTGCAGACACAGACACCAGGTTTATTCATGGCACAGGGATCCATCCACCCCTTACCAAGTGAGGACAGCAGGACCCTGGGGGCTGGCAGGGATGCAGGCTGGCCTGGGAGTA